AAGGAGACATAAAGTGAGAAATCACCCCCTAGGGGTATGGCCACACCACAATCCCTTGTCCTTTATCCTCCTCCTGGGATCTTGGGCACACATGCACGCATGCCCAGCATGATTTTCAAGCCACTGGGTCCAGGGCTCGGACCACTGCTGGCCATGTGAGAGTCCAGTGACAGAACCGCTACAACATCTGCTAGTCCCAGATGTGGGTATTTTTTATGCCATGACCATTCATACTTGAAGAGAGCAAAACCCAAGTCATATTTATATTGTCTTTAGGTAACATGAGAGAATTCTGGAGCATTCATCTCCAATTTCGATTCCTGCCCACATCACCCCTGCGAATAGTCAACAAATGTTACTGAGGACTTCCCGTTCCCTGAACCTTCCAGTTCTTTCCTCACCTGTAGGGCATCCACACTAAGGCTGGTATTGTAACATGCACACGTAGAACCATGAAGTAAATGAGAGGCATTAAACAAACTGCAAGTTAACTGCATGTATTTAAACTAGGAGACTTAAGTTCTCATATGCTAATAATGGGTCCAATAGTACCCAAAGCGGAAATAAACTCTGAAATGGGTTTTCTTAACAATCAGCCTACTAGAAAAGATTCAGTGCCCCCAAGGCTGGTTTCTGCAGTGAGATAAATCCTGCTTACTTTTAAATCGCCACTAGATGCCCCTCTCCCACCTCTGTTATTTAGATGAGAGACAGTGTATCATCTCTTGATACTTAAACAACACCTAAATACTTCTGCCGTGACCCTGAGAATGAAATTATCTGTTGGCATTTACTACAAAAATCTAACCAATACTGAATACCCCCCTCAGAACTAGTTAAGACTCTAAGAAGTAAATCAATACCTAACTAGCATTCACTTTGTTTCTAGATGTAACTAATGGCAATTTCTCTGAAATTTAAAAACACTTGGTTAAAGAAAAGCTCCTACTCTCAATTACTAACAAACACTTTTCCCTTTATTTCTAAACAGCTAAAATATATATAATCATAGATGGTGTCAACAGAAAATATCCAAATCAAATTAATATCTCATTTATAGGAAGGCTATAAATCTTCCAAAGTTTTCAATCCTATCAACAAAAGAGAGGCATTAAAAAACAAGGGGCCAGCAGGTGGGTGGTTAGCTGTTCCGCGGTTTGAGCCCTGGCTTACTTTCTCACTTTCTCTCTCTGGTGAGTACATGTGCCCCATAGCAAATTAAAATAATAATGATAATAAAAATTAAATAGAGAATTTGTAAAAAAAACAAAACAACAACAACAACAACAAAACAATAAAACAGCCCTGCGCTGCTTGCTCTCTGGATAGCCTGGTGCTAAATTTGATCCCCATGAAATGGTAAACAATGCAGTAGGCTTTTAAAGGTATACCTACAATCTCGTCAATTCTACAGAAAAGTAAAAGCTCATTTCTAAAGATGTTTATAATCTTTATAGAACATAGAGCTTTCAGAGAAATAATTCTGTTTCTTAGTCTGATTATTAAGGGAAAAAGGCAATCCTTAAACCCCACCTCTCAATCTTTTCTTATTTAATTTTTTTTTGGAGAGGTATTTGCTATAGGGCACGTGTGTTCGCCAGACAGAGAGACAGAAAGTGAGAAATCACCCCCCAAGGGGGTTGGCCACACCACAATCCCTTCTCCTCCATTCTCCTCTTGGGATCTTGGGCACACACACACACGCGCCCAGGGTGAGTTATAAGCCACCGGGTCTGGGACTCGAACTGCAGTCGACTACATGGGAGTCCAGCGACATAGCCATTACGCTAACTGCTGGTCCCCTCAATCTTTTCTTATTAAGGCAGCAATTTTTCCACTTCTAACTACCTGAATATAGTGCAGCTGAGCTGAATATAGTGTGGCAAAATTTGTGTATTGAGTATCACGTGCACGTATGTGCATGCACACATTTAGACAGTGTCCGAGAGGGCTTGCAACAAAATGTTAAAATAATGCTATTCCTATGATGATAGGATTATGGGCAGGTGATGTGAATGTTGACACTTAGATGTCTTTAAGTGAGACTGAGGGTGCCTAGGAGCTGGAGCGTAATTCCTGAGTCCCCACATACCCTTTCCCCTGGCTCATGTTGAACAAAAAAGCCGACCTTCTGAAAGCACAAGTGATATGTGGAAACTACTGAGCTGTGAACCCTCTCCCATTGGATAGATGTTCTTCGCAAGGTAACATTTTTAGGTAAGAGCATTAGGACCTCACTGTCTGTTACTAATCCTCATGTTTCAAATCTAACAGCGTGGTGCACTTCACTGCAGTAGCTTGGCCACTGGAGTAACATATGTTCCTTGCAGAAAATTTAACAAATAGATGTTTCTCTTTGCATATCTAACTGTGGGATTTTCTAATTATGACATGAACATTTTCACAAGTTGTTTCATATTCATCCTAAATATATTTAGAAATATCTTAATGACAATCTTAGAACAAACTGCTTAAAACAAATGCCATATTTCTGGTTATTTCATTTTTAAATTATAATTTCTAGTTAACATGTAATCAATGTGTATCTCTGTGGCTACAGTATGGTTTTATCTTTTTTTTTTGGAGAGGTTTTTTTTTTTGGCTATAGGGTGCGTGCGCTCGCCAGAAAGACAGAGAGAGACGGAAAAACAGAAAGCGAGAAATCACCCCCCGAGGGGGATGGTCACGCCGCAATCCCTTCTCCTCCGTTCTCCTCTTGGCATCTTGGGCATGCATGCACATGCGCCCAGCGTGAGTTCAAGCCACCAGGTCCGGGATTCGAACAGCGGTCGACTACATGGGAGTCCAATGAATAGCCATTACACTAACTGCTGGTCCTGCAGTATGGTTTTATAGGGCATGCATATAGAATATAATGATCAAATCAAGGATGTACACACATTTATTTTCTTCAACACTGAATATTACGCTGTGCTGTACACATTTATTAACGAGTTAGTTCAATATGTATTGAATTGTCCATATATATTTAAAAATACATAATATATTGCTCATTTTTTTAATATGTATTTTAAAATTTGCTATAGGGTATGTATACTTGCCAAAGAGAGAGAAAGACAGAGGAAAAGTAAAAAGTCACCCCCCCCCAGGGCAGATGGCCATACCACAATCCTTTCTTCTCCTTTCTTGCCTAGGATTTTGAGCACACATGTACACACACCCAGAGTGAGTTTTATGCCGCCAGGTCTGGGACTTGAACAGTGGTAAACCATGTGGGAGTCCAGCATCTTAACCACCACGCCACCTGCTGGTCCCTCATTCACCAAAAGTCTACTCTTCCTTTCAGTTTTTTCTAAGCTAATGGAAGATGACTTTCAGTAACAAACATTCCAATGTCGTATAAATATATACAGCATACAAATGACTAATGTGTCAATCTTTAGAACAGATACTCTAAGATACACTACAAAAAATTCTGAAAATTAAAAAAAAGGTTTAAAGATGAAACTAAAGATTGCCCATAATCCTATCATCACAAGAACACTATTTTGGCATTTTGTTACAAACCCTCTCAGATGTTTTCTAAATGTGTACACACACACACATGCATATAATACTTCATGCACATACATCTTGCCAAAATTAGATTGCACTAGATGGTTTTCTTGGTAGACTTTCTTCTCACTTTTGAGTTAGTAACACAGCTCTGCCTCATTGTTTTAAACGGGTGTATAACATTCTATTGTGGGCATAATTTACTTCTACTTGTTGCTGTGTAGAGTTCTGTGATGAACACTATTATAAAGACATCTCTCCTACTGAGGTTACCTTAAAATGTTTTACACAATAAACTTCAATTTGAATGTTTTATCAAGATCATGAATGAAATGGTTTCCATGAACTCACTGCCAAAGCATAAAGATAATTTCAGCAGACTGATTCAGTCCCAGTTTTCTTTGGTAGCTTAGTTCCAAACTGTTACTATGCCCTATATTTTCTCTCTCTTAAAAGACCCATTCTTAATATTTGCAGTAAGAGCCACAACCATGGTGTCAGTAACTGCTGAGATTCCAGGTTGTATCTCAGTGGTTCACAGCACTCCCTGGATCTTCTCCATCTTGTTATGTGAGTGGATTCAGCTAAAACTCAATGAATACTTGGGTTTTTGTTTCACGTTTTTACTAAGTTGTGTATCTCATTGCCAGTGAATGATATGGGGGATACACCACTTTACAAAATACTTACTTCAGTAGTTCCAGGGTTTTGTGATCAAGGGCAAGACGGGGGTTTCCAGTCAGGTCTAATTCTTGCAGTTTGGGAGGCAGGTTTTCTGGTAAAGTGATTTCGCTAAGCTCGTTACAGCTCAGGTCCACGCACTGAGGAACAGTGGAAACAAGAAAGAGAGCGTCTGGAGATCTTTAGGAAGTTCTACACCCACCCTTTATAGCCTGTCAGCCTGACCGTTCGCTGTAATACACTGGTAAAATGCAGAAAAAGAAGTTACTCTACCATAGATATTTAGAACAGATTTTGCTAAATGCAGGAGGTTTTGTTTTTTTGTTTTGTTTTGTTTTGTTTTTGCTTCCTTTTAATAACAAAGAAAATCTTATTTCTTTTTTTTTTTCCATTTATGTTTATCCTTTTCTCCATCTTACAAAGGGAACAGAACCGTTAAGTCATTTTCGCCCATATCACTTCAAGAGCCCTCTTCCTCACCAATGTGAAAGATGCTGTATAACAAGTAAAAGAAAATATTTCTGGAAGTTTACAATGAACATTCTAAAATTCTGTGATGTATGAAAGGATAGTGCTCTTGAAGCTCCGAGCGAAACATTTCATGACCTACAGCACGCACATGCAAACACACAAACTTAGAAAATGGCCATTACACAGTTCATGCACACGAATGCATGGAAATTGCTGTGAGGCCCAGCTGTGGCAGCACAGGTTGTAGGGTGCTGTTGCACAATGCTGGAGCCACATGAACTATGGGCTTTGGATCCAAGACCAACCTAAGCACAGCAAATGTGGCAGTGTGCGCTTAATTCTAGCTGACTGGGAGGCTGGGGTGAAAAGATGACAGCACAGTGAGAGGTCCTGTTGGAAATACCTACACTCCAAACAGCTGTGATGAAAAATGGTGTATACTTTTTTTTTTCTTTTGGGGGGGGAGATTTTTGTTATAGGGCGTGTGCACTTGCCAGAGAGACAGAAAGCGAGAAATCACTCTCCAGAGGAGATGGCCACACTGCAATCCCTTCTCCTCCGGCATTCTCTCAGGATCTTGGGCATGCACGCACACACGTCCAGCGTGAGGTTTAAGTTGCCAGCTCCAAGACTGGAACCACAGTCGACTATGTGGGGGTCCAGTGATGTAACCATTATGGCATCTGCTGGTTCTGATGCCTGCTATTTAAATGTCATAAATGTCTATGTAACTTTGTAATATGATATATAAAGTTTGTATCAGAAAGTGCCTGAAAAGTAAAGCATGGCAAAGTACAACAGAACTGCTGCTGTTCCTCACGAGAGATTAGAACACATTCCATGTTCACAACCACTGAGCTATTTTTAAATAAGCAGACAACTGATGAAAATTAGAAATGCTAAGATAAAAATAAAATGATACTATATGTAAAGAGCATGTTACTTGTCCCCTCCCGCCATTCACCCCATGAAGAGTAATGACACAGGAATACAAAGTTGTTGAATGGCTTTTACTTTCCAGAACTGGCTTCACTTCACGAGTCTAGCTTGAGTCAAGAATTACAGGTTATCTCCGCTACCAATTTGCTGACTTCATTTCACAAATCACTCATTTTTCAACACTTAAGTGTCTTCCTCTATCAAATGGGAATAACACCTGTTCCACTGAATGGGTATCTGATGGCAGCGTGAATGCTTGTCTATGTCGGGAACTAACATGACTGGCTTCTGTGGTGGTGTGTGCTATTTAATCAGGTGAGTGAGCAGGGAGTACGGAGGCACGATGGAACCACAAACTTTTTCAAAGCACCACCACACCTCGCGCAGTCTTTTAGCCTCACCACTGCCCCGAAAATAAGTGGGACAGGCATTACTGGACAAAGTCCTGGGTGCTATGGGCTTGCCTGGGGTCACACAGCCAGTCAGAGACAGGGAGTCACACAGCCAGTCAGAGACAGGGAGTCTAGCCAGGCAGATACATCTGTCCGGAGGGAGGAGTCACCCATGG